GATACAGTGATGCTCTTTGCAAGAGGGCGAAAGCTATGTTCGGAGTCCTGTTCCAGTTCTTCTCATATCAGTATTTTCTGTATCTCTTCAGTTTTCTCTCCTTCTTCATATTCCTTTTGTTCCTCTTGAATTCTTTCATGCCATGCTGCTGCAGTAAAACAGCTGCCATGGAGCACCTCAGCTTTGACATACATGTATGTGAGAAATAGGAGATGACAGTTGGAAACAAAGTCCTCTTGTCTTGGATGAAAAACTGCAACTTCTTATTCCAAAATCTGTAGTTAAGAATGACTTAACCCTTAAGTTCTGTTGCGGGCCATATTCATACAGCAAAGCGACATTGTGGAAGGGCAAAAAACCACAACTCACCCAAACCTTCACAGACATTTGGTCTGCAACAGGTACCTACATTTTCCTTGGAGCTCATTCCATCATATATAGAAACATCCATTTCCAGGAGCTCTGTAACATCTGAGAACTTGCACACATCAAGTAGAAAATTTACAAATGCACCCAATTGAGGAAAGGGGTCTCGGTAATTATCTTTCACTTCACTGACGTACCTAACAGGGAAGTCCTTTTTCTCTGGTAGACTGCTCCAGCAGAAGCACCATAGGATATGTTGCCATGGAAACAAAACTTTTTCCTTCTCGTATTTCAATAATGTGTTGAAGGTTTTCAGGGTCTTTTCCCTTTTTTTTTGCTCTGCTTGGCCCTTCAGCATTTACTGTGCATCATATGCTGGAATTGTAATTCTGGAAGTCTTATTCTTCAAAACCCAAACAAAAAACAACTCACAATATTGTTCTTTCATCTAAACTGACTCTTTGCCATCCTTCCCTCTTATTCATTGTCTCTGTTATTTAATGGCTTTCTGTGGCAATCTAACTCCACATCAGCAATTTATTTTGTGTGATACAAAGTTATTTTGCCTGTGCCCAAAAGCTCTCCCCAAGGGCAAGGGAGAAGTCCTGCTGCCCTGGACCTGTCTTGCAGATGAAGTTTTTCTCTGTTACACAATGCAGTTGAATGTCTTTAGGGGTATCAGAGTGAGAAGGAAGGAGGTGTAAGCTTTTCCACTCACGGGAAGAAAGTGATGAAATGTGCTTTCACAGTAATGATTTTTGTCTCTGCAGATTCAATGCCTTGCAGTCTCTGCTGTGAAACCTACGACCACAGCCTGCTCGCTTCATTGCATAGCACTGGGTTGCACTTGCATATTGGAGTCTTGAAATTGTTATTGAATTGCATAACAGATGAAAGAAGAGATCTAGGGGCAGTCAAGCTCTGAGGAGATGGTCCTCACTATGCTGTAGATGCCTGTTTCATGTCCTACAGGTTACTCTAAGCAGTGTATGTCCCACTGCAGCTCCTCCCTTGCAGTCCACAGGTTACTTGCAGCTTGTGAAAACCTTTTGAAAAGCTTGGCAAAAGGTCTTATATTGGTGGCCATCATACTACATCCCCTCAGAATTTCTGGGGTGCATTTCAGATAAAATTATCATGAGCACACTCACCAGTCACAGCTTCTCTCCATTCTTTCCCTCCAGAACAACAGCTTTGGGTACCTCTGCCCTTACGTGCTAAGGCTGACTACAAAGGATATAGTCTGTTTGTGTTTTGTTGCTTCTGAGTGTGTGGGAATAACTGTCAGTCCTAGAATGCAAACAGTGTGTTCTAGATGGTTAAAAAAACAAAAGAAAAAGTCAAATAATTGAAGACAGCAGGGTTTTGGATGGCTCTGAAGGCATCCTCTGACCCTGCAAAAGGATAAGCTAGGACACACAAAAGCATGAGAGAATTCCCATGTTTACTGCATTTGACCGCCAGGAATAAGAAGAGCTGCATTTCACAGCTGAGATACTGAGGTAGGATGATAAGAGTGCAGATAATCAACAACCAATCTTAATGAGTGTTGGGCCTGCTACAGAAAGAGAAAAGTAAAAGGGGGGGAGGGGTTTCCTATGAATCAAATTGTTCCTCTTCAGTAGTTCGGGAACACATGCTCTAAAATCAGTCATCAACCACCATCACTGACTTCCCATAATCTACTGCAATTGCCCCACTCCAGGAGAAGGGTCAGAGGGGAAGATTATGAGACCCCAGTGTGTGCACTGGAAGGCTTAAGACTGCAAAACAAGTGTGGCTTCCTCCCAGAGAGATTAGTCTCTTTTGTTTCCTTATCTGTGCTCTCAAATAGGAGTCAGCTTAAGCTCTCTCTTTATTTGTTTAGGAGACCCCTAACTTTTTCTAGAAAAGGATTCTAATGGATTCAGAGTCCATGGAATTCCTCAAGAATCCATAGAAAATGTTGTTCACAAGGCAAGGGCGTGCTTTGGGAGGTGCCTTCTTTCTGGCGAGCAGAGCTACAACACTGAACACTCGAAGTAGTGGAAGAATTTGCTCTCCTGGTCCAAATGACACAGTGTGCTAAAATACACTCCCAGTTCACAGCTTAACAACAGAATTGTATACCACCAAGGGAAGTGCTTGAGATTAAACCATTATGCAATTGCACTCTACACTCATCATTACTTCTAGCATTTCCTTCCAAAGATGCAGGGCTGAACCATGTGTCTTCTTTTGTAGCAATTACTGATAACAAATGGTTTAATTCAAGCTTAGTAAAGATACTTTCAGTTGAAGCCTCTATTTTTCCACTGTGGACTCAGACTTAATATTTTTGGCCACAGCCCAAAGAGGTGACATTTCAAAGTATGAATAAAACTAGCATAAGAACTTGCAATTGTGCAAAGACAACTAAGATCTACAATTCCTCTAACTCCTTCTGTTGTCTGCTGCTTTTTCTCATGATCTGTACTACCTCTGTTTGCTTAAACAGCCAAATAAAGATGCAAGAGCCATCCTTCTGTTACAGTTGGAGGAGCTTGCACAGGAGCTGTTGAGGACTGTTGATGGGAGATGTGGAGTGGAGCTCTATAAGCACAGTTGAGACTATTGCTGTGATGAGATGAGCAGAGATGGACTGCACAGAACTGGGAGGCTGGTCCCATGGGAAATATAATCATCACACTGGTGCCAGTCATAGTTAGTAGCACTGGGGCTTAAATCCCCATCATCATGGTTATCAGAGCTGGCAGGAAAAGTGAGCAATTTAAGCAGATAAAATATCTCTAATCTTCCTAGTAGTTGTATTTGTGCATTGCTGCCATGAGGGCAAATAATCTGGGCATCTAAATCCCTTGTCTACACTTGGAGTGTATCCAAATGGATGTCAAGGTAAACAATCACAAATCCTGGCTTGGACTGTCTACTCTTGAAGCCTCCAGCAATGTCACCAGGCTGGGTGGTTGTGGATTACGATCCCTGCCAAATGTACACAGGGTTTACTCTGAATGTGTCCTTTGGAGCAGAGTTCCCTTCCTAATACAGCTTTTAGGAGCCAACCCCTGTGCTGGCACACCAGCCAGTCTGTAGCTTTGTCTTGCAGCAGAAAGGAGCTACGGGACTGATAAAGAGCAAGAATTTGGGACAGATGGGAGAGCGTGGGTGATAACTTCTCCCATGAGATTCTGTATGCACACCATTTTCCTCAGGGGAGGGTCTGGGCTCTTCAGACAGCAGCAATGTGAGGACATGGGGGCTTGGCTGGGCTCCTCGGAGGTACTGACATGATGTGTGGCTGTTCTCCATGGCTGCCTGGATTCTAGAGTACAAATCGGCAGAGATGCGTGGCATGGGGTAGGAAAGCAGGCTGCTCTCTGGGCTGCTCTCTGGGCACAGCTGCCTCTGGGTGCAGTTTGACTGTAGTAGTAGCAGACAGTAGCAGTGGATGCTACTGTCATGCTACTGATGCCACGGAGCTAGAGTTCCACTTAGGGGTGCATCCTTCAGCCACTGAGCCCAACTCAGCATTCTGGCCCCTTTCATTCCAGAGCCCATAGCTGTCACACTGCTGTCTCAGAGATTAACTGGTTCCTGCTTCCCTACTGGTCCAGCGACTGCCTCCTATCCCTTCTACAGACCCGACCAAACCCACCTTGCTTCTGTATACCCCTCCTAACTCCTTCAGAACTGCCCAACTGATACATGAAGTTTGCCATCTCCCATCCCCTCCGCTGTCTTTTTTTCAAATGTATCCCTTTTTTCTTCATTTACATCAGTGACAATTCCTACTGCTTAGTGTGGCTGCTCCAGCTGCCCCTCACCTGCCTCCCCAAGGGAGCAATTGCTCCAGTGCATCATGCAGGTGTGCAAACAGCTGAATGCTTGAAGCACTTGGCCAAAATTTATCTTCTGAATAAATCAAAGACCACAAAAAGAGATGTGTCTAGGAAAAAGCTTATGCTAGTCTTATTTTTGTTGTTTTCTACTAAAGGTACAGTAATTTCATCTTCCTATTTTTTTTATAACTCTGTCATGCATTTGTTTAAAAAATGAAGGGTTTTTGGTGGAGGAGACCAAACTAATTGGGCATTTGGGCCAAGTTTGAGAGAAGATATTGGTATTTTGAAAGTTAATTTTGGACATAGATAGATTTTGATTTGCATGATTTTAGAACAGGACTTAAAAATACCAAAAAAATCTACTAACATTGCTAAAAAAAGTGACCTTGCTGAAAACAAGAAAAATGGGAACATCTTTTCAGAGTGATTAAATAACTCCAAATGGTAAGATAGGTCAGTTTGGAAAGAATGAAAAGGGTCAGGCTGGATCCAGAATAAACTACTTTGCTTTAAATCTGCTTAAAAATATTGCTCTGGGTTGAATCTTATTGAAGGTTATATAAAAATAAATAAATGTCTCCCCAGGTCTACTTTACACAACACTGAGAAATGCTAGAGGTGGACTTGCAGACTTTTGAATGGAGACAACCCTGTTTTTGTACAGTACAGATAGAAAGAGACAGTCATGGCACAGCAGAATGTACAACCTCTAAAGAATAGAACAGAGGGAAAAAGAAATAGTGTAAGAAAGGATATATCCTGTCAGCAAAAAGGAACCATTTGTAATATATATTTGTTTTATGGTGATATGTTTTATTAACAACATTTTAACCACTGTTTGGGCTTGTTTAAACACCAGTTTTATACAGATTTAACTAAATCGGTTTACAAAACAATTGAATTAAATCAGGCGATATCTGAGAGCACAGGCACCTGTATCGTAAGTGTTTATATTGGCTTAGCTTGTGTCAGTAAATCATCCTTCCTTTACTGCCTGGCTTCTTCCCACAGCAGTTGCTTGATTGCATTGCAGCTGGCTTTGCCTCCCTCTTGCCCTCTGGAATCTGACTCCATTCCCTTGCAGCAGAACAGCCATAAGCTGGAAGGACATGTGCAATGAAGGCCTGTTGCCCTGGTGGGCTTTATGGGAGGTGGTTCCTGAGCAGAGCAAACAGGCAGAGGGGATGGCTAGCAGCTTTGCAGATGCAATGTCTGCATCACCTCAGAGATGCAGCTTGCAGCTGACTATGGTGGAGCCCTGGCTCACCCAACACCTATTTTAGCTGCAGGAGCTCAGCCCCAAGCAAAAAAGATGTTGGTTTTCTTTTTGTTTTGTTTTGTTTTGTTTTGTTGGATTTTTGTTTTTGTTTTTGTTTTTTTGTTTTTCCAGAAAGTGAGCGGTGCATGTGAAGATGACATTTCTTCATGTTTTTCCCCTGTGCTGGTCCCTCCTGACCTAACATGTTCTGTGAAAATGTCTCTTTGCCTAGGTCACAGTGATACTATTGTGAGACAGTTTCCTTTGGCTCTTCACTGGCTACTGAAGTATGGGCCACAGAGACCTGTGGAGCAGTGAGTGTCCCTTGAAAACCAACCTCCGTTGGCCAACATACCTGACATTTTTGTACCTTTCTGTGCTTTACTTGTTGCTGGACCCGCATGTCAGCAGGTGACATGTCAGCCTTGACCTATGCCTCATGCATAGAGGGGAAGAGAGTGGCCAGGGTCTGTGGTGGAGACATACAATTCCCAGTACCTGTCATGGAGGATCAGCTGCCTGGCACTCAGCATATCTTCTGGTGTATCAGTGAGGGTGCTGCCCGTGTCCAAGTGTTCATAGGTGATGTTGCTGTGTGGAAAAACAGGGAGCAGAGCTTTCCTGCAGGATTATGAATGAACACCTGTTAGAAAACACGTGTAGGTCTTCAGCAGAGATGGAGAAACATGTGAGCCCCAACAAGTTGTGACTCTCACTAGTGTCTGGGGAACATTATTTTTGTAGTGTCAGTTCTGTAGTTACCAGTTGCAAATACCCTCTGCAGTGCAAGACTGGTGCCCCACGGATGGTGCAGCCCTGTTGGCATGGTACATACAGACTGCAGGATGAGACACTAGAAAGCAGTGCCAAGGAAACAGACCTGGGGGTCCTGGTTGATGGCAAGCTGGACATGAGCCCAGGGAGCCAGGAGGGCCAGCCCTGTCCTGGGGACATCAGGCACAGCATCACCAGCTGGGCAAGGGAGGAGATTGTTCCCTCTGCTGTGCACTGGTTGGCCTCACCTCTAGTGCTGCGTGCAGCTTTGGGTGCCACAATAGAAAAGATACGAAGAGAACATCCAAACGAGGCTAACAAGGATGGTGATGGGCCTCGAGAGTAAGGCGTATGAGGAATGGCTGAGGTTGCTTGCTCTGCTCAGCCTGGAGGAGACTGGGGAAAAACCTCATTGAAGTAACAACTTATGAGGGGAAGAGAAGGGGCAGACACCGATCTCTACTCTGTGGTGACCAGTGACAGGACTCGAGGGAATGACCTGAAGTTGTGTCAGGGGAGGTTTAGGTTGGCTATTAGAACACAGTTCTTCACCCAGAGGGTGTTTGGGCACTGGAACAGCTCCCCAGGGAAGTGGTCACAGCATCAGCCTGACAGAGCTCAGGGGGCGTTTGGACAACGTTCTCAGGCACAGGGTGTGACTCCTGGGGACGGTGCCGTGCAGGGGCACGAGTTGGACTCGATGACCCTTGTGGGCCCCTTCCAACCCAGCGTATTCCGTGGCTGTGTGATCCGACCGGCAGCCGGCCCGCGCTCCCCGGGGCTCTGCGGGCCCTGTTGCGGCGCAGGGCCGCCCCACGCCGGGGCCGCCCCTCAGCGCGGGCCTGCCTCCCGCCGCCGCAGGGGCCGCGGGGCTCGCCGGGCCGGCGGGCGCCCCCTGCCGGGCCCCGGCCGCCGCTGCCGCCCCTCCGGCCGGCCCTGCTCCGCGCTTCCCCGCCGCGCCTCGCTGCCGCGGCCGGCCAAGATGCTCTCTCTCACTAGGCCGTCCTTCTCAATCTGGTACCTATCAAGCTAAATGAGGCATAATTAGGAATAATTATGACATGACATGGTCTGGAATGAGAAGCAGATGGGGCTTCCCCCAGGATGCACCAGGTTGGATTTCAGGGACGAGAGAATGGGGACAGAGTGGGGATACAGAGCAGTCTGTCTTGATTTCCTACCAGTTGTCACCTCTGCTGGCAAGGGCTGGAGACACTGTCCCAGCCAGCAGGGTGCTGCAGCAAGATCTGGGTTATGGGGACTGTGCTGTGAGACACCTGTCTTGGCCACGCTGGCTGCTCCGTAGTGGCTTTATTCATTCTGTGTTAGAAGAGTGAAGCAGCACCTGAGTTTGGCCATGTGTGCTGTCCCTCTGACTCTTCTTTTTATGCAATATCAGTAGAATATGGAGTTTTTCTCTTAAGAAGTAGGTGGAAGAGAGAGAAGCAAGGAGTACTGGCTCTTAGGTACAGGCAGAAACCTCTGGTGCTGAATGGTTGAAGCCAGGAAGGTGTTTTCACACATCCTTTGTGTCCCCTCTGAAGGGCACTTAGCTGCTCTGTGTTGTAGGCTGGACGGGGCAACAACACGGGAAAGGTGCTGGGAGCTACTAAGAAGAGGGATATTTAAGGGAAACAGCCTTTGGCTCTTCAGGTCAGATGCTCCTTTGAAAAGGCATAAGGAGGAGGCCTCATGTTTCCGGCACATTTATTTACCTTGATGCCTGTGCAGGAGCAGAAGAGAATGTATGTTTAGACTGGAGATGTGTGGCATAGTGGATGCACGTGGATTTGTTGTGGAAGGGTAAAAGTATGAATTGTCATGCATGCATCTATTTCTCTTTAAAAACCAATGTCATCCACAAGAAAATCAAAGACTAACTAAAGGAAACTATAATCATTCTCTTTTCCCATTACAATAATATGACATGTTGGAAGGCTTTATTCCTGGCATTCTGTTCCATTCATAACAAAAATCTGGGTACATCCCCCTGAGGAGAGAGCCAAACCCCAGCACACAGGTGCTGGTGCTGTCAGGGGGTGGAGTTCAACACCAACTGAAGCACTGCTTTTAGGTGCCTCTTGGGCTGCCTCGCTGCCAGAAACATGAGGGCAGCCTAGGCCAGGTCTCAGATCGGGTTGTTGGCAGTCAGGACACGTGGCAGTAGAGGAGCACTGTGCTGCTGTCCCCTTCACCTGTCCTCTGCTCTCCAGCTCCCAGCCATGCCCCCGAGGCAGTACCTGATATACAGAACGACTGGTTTTCTTTAACCCCTTTCTGTGTGACCTTGGCTGTAGGGAAAGCATCCAGAGGGATGAGCTTCCTTTCCTGTGAGGGTAAATCTTTCTTGTTGCTGAGAGGCATTTCTCACTTAAGTCTTTCAAGAAGCCATTCTTTAAGCTACTCCTGCTTCTAATTACCATAAGTACAGATTTGCTGTTTCCAGCAAGAAGCCTTTTTTCTTCTGAAAAAAATGAAGGCAAAGCAAGAATTTCCAAAGAGTTTTATGGGAGATGAATAGGTGCACCCAGGAGTACTCAGGAGCTGCAGACTGGTTCTTCTTGGAGATATGGTCATCCTGTGTCTGCTTCTGTTCCGCTAGTGTTGCTTGTGGCATGTCCAGCACCTGGAGATTTCCTGGAGATCTCCATGGTTGAATTCAGCCTGCTGACCACTAGTCTCACCCCCTTAGGGTAAATTAGTTAGGATTGGCTCTTCCTGCTTGTTACAAGGTGTCTGTCATGTCTCATGTGTAAACAAACAGCCCAGTTCAACTGTGGATTTGCAAAATTGTTGGAACTCAAAATGTCCCTCAGACATTTTCAGAGGTTCCAGGCCTTGATCAGAAGCATTTTAGACCCTGGCAAGCAGCTGAAAACAACTGTGATTTTGAGTTTGAGCCATGGAATGAGTTACCAACTTTGAAGGTGGAACAAGTGGTCACAGAGGGTTAGATGGTATAGTAAAAGCAGTTACAAATTAGGGGGTAAAATTTTTTAGTATTGTACAGGGGGGTTTTAACACCTGTACAGGGGGGTTTTACTTTGTACAGGGGGATCAGGAGTTTTAAGATGGAGGAAAATGGGCCTGATCCTGTTCTTCCTCCTTCTTCTTCCTTACCTCCATGTTCTTGGTGATGTTGGCACTCACAGATTGGTTTAGAGTAGAAAAGCACGTTGTAACATAGGCAGTAGGTATTGGGGAAAATCTGTAAACATATAACACGTAATATATCATATAAAAGATAGCAGCAGCCCTGAGTGGGGAGAGAGACGACGGAGACACCGGACAGTGAGGGTGTCAGGAGTGTGTGTGTTTCTGCCTGGGCAGCTGACCAAGGCAGTGCAGCGGACGAAGACAATCTTTTAGATAACTCGCAATAAACTGCCTTGAGACCGAACAACAAGAGGCTGCGGAGTTTTTCTTTGGAAGCACGGGTTGGAGGAGAGACTTTACCACCACACGAGAGCCCCGAATCAATCCCGGGGTTCTCACACAAAATAATTGCAAATCCTCCTAAGGAGCTGCCTTTGTGCTGTGATAGTGATGGCTATAGTCTTTTGGTTTTCTGGGGCTTGGAAGCTCTGGCTTTACCGAAGTTGATGGACTTCTTGACATCTTTCCTGGCGAGTGGGAATGAAAAGCAGTATTTCTGATGTTTCCTCTGCAGGGAATTTTCAAAATGAAACTGAAAAATTACTTCTGGAAAATCAGTCTTGTCATCTCAGAGTTCTTTAGAAGTGCCATATTGTTAACACCTTTTCATACCAGAACAGTTGAAATATCTATTATTCCCATTTCATTTTAAAAACCACTAAAGGGAGGATTTTTCTTAGAAACTCTTGAAACCTCTTTTCTAGAATAGCTGCTTCTGTTTCTTTTGTAGCGAAATATTTTAACACACTGATAGAAAGGGAAAGTGGATTCATCTTGTTCAACTTTACTCACGTAAAAGTTAAGCATTTAAGCACAGTTCGTCATTTGGGCTCCTTTTGCAGTCCAGGAGAGAAATACAAATCAACAGCATGTTCTGTGAGGTCATGCTGTAACGAGAAATACCTCTATCTCACAGAGCACTGAGTGAGTAGTGCTGCCCTCTTCTTGTTTGTTTTGTGATCAGGCCCACTGAATTGCCGTCTGGATGTTTCTGTTTCTTCCTTTTTTGCTATAGAGGGAACCCAAATGCATAGTTTTGCCCAGATGTCTAATTATCAGAGACCTAATATTAATGTGATGAATATTACCTCAAAGGTCTTGTTCAAGTTTGAAAAAGGGAATGAAATATTTATGTCATTTGAACATTTTCAAAAATGTCCTCACTGGTAAATGCAGTCATCAGCATGCTCCATACCCCTCCATTCTCTGTGCCCCTTGAGTGTGCATAACTGAAGCTTGGCTACTTCAGGAGATATTGCTCGGCTTCTCAGTGAGATATTGCTCATGAACATAATGCTGTTGTTTGCTTATACACTGTGACACGTGCTGTGTTCACACACACTGATTGTGCTCCCCTTGGGCATCCTAGATAGCACTTCGTCTGCGATGGCATCTTTCATCATGTCCAGTTTTAAGAAATATCTTTATCAGCAAGACAAACTGGGAAACATTTTATACTAGAATTATTCTAAGAATAGAAATCTGCTGGCTATCTATGCAAGATGCCTCCTGGGTTTATTGCCTTGTGGAGTCTTCAATCCTTTCTTGGAAGTACAGGTAGGCACCTGCTTTGAAGCAGATCAAACTGGAAGACTCCTCTGTGCTGATGATTCATGTAACCCCACAGGTTATAGACTTGTAGCAGTATGTGTACCTTAACCATGCCCAGTGCTGGGCTCTGGAAATATTTCTAGATTAGTGTAGTACAGTTTGCAGTAAATGAGGCAGAGTGGAGTCAACTCACATGAATGATGGTTATGAAATGGAAGCCAATCTCACCTTATCTGGACTGCTGGAAATCTAAGGGTCAGCAATGGTAATTTAGATACAAATCAGATTCAGAAAAGATATGTGTGCCTAAGGTAATATGATAATGCAAACTACTCCCTTTTCTCTATGTCTTCTCCACATTTTGGCACTTACCAGATGATACAGGGGCATGACTATGACTGGAAAAGTTGGGAGGAAGCACAGCATTAAGCATTCACTAAACAGATAATGTAGAGGCTCCTGGTTATCGGCCATTCCCATGGTGGTTTTGTTCTCTTTTCACCATCCTCAGTCATAGCGGCTGGTAGGATGTGCACCAGTAAGGATATTTGCTGTTCAGCATGTGGCTGAGTTTCACCCTGAGACTTCAGTTGTCAGCAGTTTAAAGATTAGATGCCACCTCTCTAAGTGAGTGTCAGAATCACCACAAAAATCACTGAGAGGTAAGAGACATAGTCCCTTAGGAGCATCTCATTGATCCTCTCATGATTCCCAAGCAGCATGTAGTACTGCATGACTCTCTATTTCTTCAGATTAGTTGATTTAGTTACACATCCCTTGGGCTTTTCAGGGGGTAATTTTGTATCCTTGGAAGATGCAAGAGTCAAGTAAAAGCTACTCCAAACCAGACCAAACAACATTACTCACTTCAGCAAAGTGCAGGTGTCCCCTGGGTCTGGGAAAGA